CTGCTGATTGGCAGTTATTCTATTTTTCATTTACCAGAAGTATTTTCATGTCTGTTTTTCTCTGCTGCAGTTGGGGTGATTACAATGCCTATCAATGGACTCCAAAAAATACTGGATATATCTTTTATTCTAAATAGACATTCTCTACCTGAGGCACAGGGTTCCTCAAGTTGTAACATAAACCCAGAGCAGCTTGTGCTGCAGCAGCTGACATGAAAAAGCAGGCTAGGAACAGAAAGGTGCTTGAAAACATTACTTGCTTAGCCGTGATTCATCCAAGGTAAGGTTTGCTGCTGTTGTGATAAAGGTCTCTAGTTTTTAAGATTGCCTTATCTGTCTGCAGCTATTAAAAATTAGAACACCTTGACTTGTCATAGGCTTCTGAGCTGATACTTCCATATAGATAGCAGAACCCTGGTTATCTCTGCAAGAGATGTAAATGGGATGTTTGAGTGTGGGGAGTTCTGTTTTTTTAGAGTGATTTTTAGGGGTAGTACCACCCTCAAACATATGGCAGATCTGCAGAAATAGTCTTGAGACACCTTGCAATGGCCACTGGGTTCAGGCAAGGCTGCAAAAAGCTGAGGGCCTTCGTGAGTCCATTCAGTGAAAAGCCTGGATGCATATTCCAAGCTCTGGCACCTGTTGACCAGCTCCACACACAGGTGGGGACAAATAGCCAGGACTAGAGAAAGAAGGGTACAAAACTCTAGCTTGCAGAAGCGTTGAGATCCTCTGCTGAGTTCAAGAGAGGAGAAGAATGAATCCACAGTGCTTTCCTACTGAGGGCCGGCATGTGCTTCTGGTTATGCAGGTGCATTTGTTATTCTTGTCATGATTTCAGTCTGGGAGTCAGGTGGGTACTCATACATGAACAGTACTCTCAGCTTCTCCCTCTGCTTCCTAGGATCAAGACCCCTCTTCTTCACCTGGTAACCCACCCTCTTTTTCCTAACTTTTTCTGCACAGATACCACCATTGAAACTTGCTGCAAGTATCTCCTGTTGCAGGGGCCTGGAGTCAGTCCTTTCTAGGTAAAATCAAGTGTAACAGATCTGGGTAGTATTTGAGCCAGTGCTCTGGGAAGTGAGCTGTGTGAGCTAATATATGGGGTCTTGTGGGGAGAGGGCAGGAAAGACAGGGCTCAGGGGGCAGGCAAGAGGGCAGTCTGCTGAATTGGGCTGCTGTGTGGGAGCACAGAACTGTTGTTGCACTGGGTATGTGTGTTGTGTGGCAGGGTTCCCTCTTCCATGTATTGCTTCCATCTATCTGCAGGATCCAGGGAACGAATAGTGGGAGATGGCAGAAAACTCCTAGTGGGGAGACTAAGCAAGGGGAAGAGAGGCTGGGCTGTGCTTGTACCATGGTCCTTTGTAAAGCCTCAGGCCGGGCATGTTCAGCTGAGAACCTGGCACTGCCAAAGCTGTTCAAACTATCTCTGCAAACAATCCAGCAAACACCTC